ATGGATGGACATGAATACCTTTCTTCCTGAGACAGGCTATTGGGTTGACTAATATTTTCATGAAAACCTGTGGAGCAGTCGCGAGGCCAAATGGCATGGCTTTGAATTGCATATGGAGATGTTCCACACAGAACCTCAGGAACCTTCCGTGTAGTGGTAGTATGGGTACATGAAGGTATGCTTCCGTGAGATCCAAAGAGGCTCCAGGTACTCTCCTGGCTGTAGGACTTCTATGATGGTTTTGAGGGTTTCCATATGGAAATGTTTCAATTTGATAAATTTGTTTACAAATTTTAGATCCAGAATGGCCGTCCATTCGCCATTCTTCTTGGGTACTGTAAAAAAGATCGAATAACACCGCACCGCCCCCCCCCGCCCCCGGCCTCTTTTAAGGCAGTGAACATTATTGTCGTTTCTGAGGGTGTTTTCGCAGTGGGGAGATGACTAATCTTTCTGGAGGAGGCCGAAGAAATTTTAAGAAGTAACCCTTGGAGGCTATTTCTAAGGTCCATGAGTCTGCTTGGGCCTCCAGCCACGCCTCCTGGAAGTGAATCAGTCTTCCTCCCACCGGAATCTGTGCTGAGTCATGCTTTGTTATTCTTTGCATCACGATCCTGTTTGTCAGTTCTGTTGAATGCTTGTCTTCCGAAACGTGGACCTTGAAAGTTTTTCTTGAATGGTTGGGCGGAAGGCCCCCAGGAGCCCCTTTTCTGTCCTTCTTTTTATCCCTGGTTTCTACCAATATCTTGTCCAGGTGGTCACCAAAGAGCTTCTCCCCTTGGCTGGGCGCGAAAATCCGTTAAAAGAGCTTGCTACAGCACCGATCGATCCAGCGCGTTCGCACTAGATCCCATGGGTGTGAAGCACAGAGACCACGTCGAAGATCAGAAGGTGAATGCATCTAATGAGGCATCTGTGGCAAAGGCTGACGTCTTCAGTATCCTCATCACGCCTTCTAGTAGATGTCTATTGTCACCTGGAAGAAGTTGGATCAGTTTTTTCGCCCAGACAATTATGGCGCTGTTGGCGATAAAAGCTTTGATGGCCATAGCAATGGCCTCATGTGATCTCTTAAGGGCAATGTCTATCTTTTTGTCCAGATTGTCCCTCACTGAACCGTACCCATCTTCTGAAAGAAGACCAAAGGACTGGAGCGCTGCTTTGGAGCATCGACCAAAGGAACCTGTAACATCTCATTAGCGAAAGATGGTAAATCATACAATTTTTTAACAAACCCCGGGGCTTGTCTGTTAGCAATAGGTTTGGGCCCACTCAGCCTTCAGTTGTCTCTCAAAAAATTCCGGAAATGGAAATACTTTCTCTGAAAGAGAGTATCTGGGAAAACCTCCTCATGGCCATTGGTCCTTTTCC